AAAAAAAATTAAAAAATAAAAACTATAAAAAATATTAAAATTAAGAGATTAAACTTAACATTTAACCTAAAAAATAAAAAACAAAACAGCTACTTTCCATGGGCGCCTTGATGTAAACTTCGAAATTTCATTTGAAGAATGCCCCGCAAGTGCCGAATCTTCAAAATTTCCCTAAATACCGCCCAATTTTCGTTTTGAAAATTTGCCAAAAATTCCATCTCTCTCGCCAAAAGGGTTTTTCTTCTCCTCTTTTTCATCCCCAGACTCCCACCATAGTTCAGACCCATCAAGAACACCCACCCAAGCTTCAGCATTTTCAAGGTAAAACACTCATTCTCCTTCTCTTCTTGCTGTTCCCTTCACTGATTTCATCTGGGTTTTCGAGGTTTTGATCCATTCTGAGGCATCACCAAAACCTCAGTTTCTTGGAAAATTCTCTTTCCCGAGAAAATAAGTGTAACCTTCTTCAGTATGCTGAGTTTTTATTTATTTATTTATTTATTTTTGTTATTTATGATTAAGTTACACCGGCATTACTTGAAAAATGATACATGGGTGTTGGATTTCTTTTTTTCTTTGATTTGAAATGGGTTCTGTTTTTCTCTTAGTTGAATCGTAAAAATGGTGGAGTCAAGGGATAGGCTATTGAGGCCCATTGATCTTGCAGAGGTCTTCACTCGAAGACGTTCAGGGGCGCTTGGGGTTCTCTCTGAAGAATCACAGAGGTTACTGGGTTCTCCTGTTCAGCAGTCACCTATGCGCAGGGGAACTGGTGTGGGCGTGACTGGCACGGTCGGTGGCAGAGGGCTTGTTAGGATGGGCTTGGGAACGCCGAGATCCAGAATTGGGCGTGGCCGGACTGTGTACCGGTCCCCACAATTGGGCAGAGAGAATTCGCCAGTGCAAGGAGGTTCTCGGCGCGGAAGAGGAAGGGCTACAGGCACTGTGTTACCTTATTGGTACCCGACGACCCCTCTTCGTGATGTCACAGCAGTTGTGAGGGTAATGTCTCTATCTATTCTCATTGGTTCTTTTAATTAGTCCTTGATTATGTTGTTGGAAATATCTCCATTTTTGGAGTTTGTTTGTTGCACATTTTTTTGGAAATTCAGTTATATATCCAATGAAAACTGAGGAAATTAGGCCATTACAGCCCCGTCCATATAACTTACAAAACGATTTTTAGAGAAAATGCAACCTTTTGGGAGAGCAAGTTTGGTAAAGGAGATTCCTTTATTAAAGTGCTTCAGCTAATTGAAATTTTTTTGTTTTTTTATATGATCTTTGTTGGGTTATTGCAGTGTTTAAATCATGTCCATCTTTGGATTTTTGTGGAGTTGAAGTGGTATGGTCTGTCTGAATTATCCATTGAAAGCAGACTTTAGTGTTAGATAAGGTGCTCAACTCGAGCACCATATTCAGTGGCTAGAGCTTTGTGTCATTTTTCTTCGTATGTTACTTGTAACTGCAGTTCTGTATTGTTTTGCTTTTTCACTCGGAGGCTTTTTTAGCCTCATTCTATGATACGCTTCTAAGTCTTGTGGGACTTTGATCAGGCTATTGAAAGGAGAAGAGCTCCTTTGGGAGAAGACGTAGGCCTAATTGAGAGCCCGGAGCCTCAGGATCAAAACCAAAGGGTTCTTAATACGAATTTACCACTCTCCGGAGCTGAACTTGAGCAAGATTTGCGCACTCCTGCTCCAACTTCCAGGAAAAAGCCCCGTCCACCATCAATTCTTAAAGTTTCAAAGATTCTGCATGATGTTACTAGTCAGAGTCCTAGGGAACCAGAATGTCTCACTCCCCAGAGGAAACTTTTGAACTCCCTAGATAATGTTGAGAAAGTTGTGATGGAGGAACTGCAGAAACTGAAACGTACTCCAAGCGCCAAGAAAGCAGAAAGGGAAAAGAGAGTACGTACCCTGATGTCAATGCGTTGAGCTTAACTGATTTTTCTCTGCTAGAGATTAGGGGGCAAGATGTACCAGAAGGCTGATCATCATCTGGTGATACCTTAATTATTTTTTTCTCTGATCAGAGAAAGGTATTAGGGGGCAAGCTGCATTGGAAAGTGCCTCATCATCTGATGATACATATTTGTCAACTGATATGGTAGACAGCTTCGACACATTCTCTTGATTGTATTTCACCTCCCACTGAAGTTATTCATATAGGACATGTAGGCAATTTTTCTTCAATAACTGCTGAAGGTCTTTGTTGTTTTCATACCTTCATTCTTTGAAGGGATCTGTTTTGGGTACACTTCTAATTAATTGTACATACACAAAAAATTGAAACTCCATATTCTTTATTTTTTTTGGCTCTTCAATGAACTTCAAATCTGTATTGAAGGATGATGCTCGTAGAAAAGTTAGTATCACACCAATTAATTTGAGTTTGTTATTGTAAAACAAGGACCCTTGGATGGGGTGGACTACAATATTAAGGAACTTGTTTCTTAATCAAAGGTCTATGTTTTGTAGTTTAATATAATTTAAATTCTAAAATGCATTTTTGTTAATCGAATATGCATTAAAAGACAAGCACTGAAATTAAGTTGCTCAACATGTGAATGAACAAGTAAAAGTACATTTGAACATAAGGGCACTGTGCTTAGACGGACCATATTGATGCGGTATATATAACAACAACGTGGTACAAACTTTCACCCGTGTAGTCTTAATCTAGGGATACCCTGGTTTTAGTAATAAAAGAAATAGAAGAAGAACAAGAATCAAGTTAAGCTCGACAAGCACATTCAACTTGTCCTTATTGCTCTAAAACAATACAAGTTTGACTACTAGTAGAGAGGCAGCTTCCTGGTATTTTCTCTTGTGCCAACTCCCAATACCTAGAACGCTGCATATACCTTCCCCAACTTTGATAGCTTCTTGTTCTATGGTCCAACTTAGTAAATTGGCCTCAGTGTGACTTTGCATTCTCCCAAGTTCACCTTTTTACGATTGTATTCGCCTTTAAATAAATCCAATGGACTACAAAAGAAAAAAAGAAAAGAAAAGAAAAACCATTAATTTCTCAGTTTACCAAATAATTGTCTACCCGTTTAAATATTGATATTGCTGCTAATATGAATCAAATAAGAATGTTACAATGAAAATCTGATAAATTTTAAGGGCTTAGATGAAATTTCCTACTTTTCTTTACATTTTCTGTTTGTTCTAAAGATAAAAGCTAGTAGACTGTCTCTCGTTTTAATATATGCTAAAATGCAAAGGAAATGAAAGCAAATTAAGTGGAAGCTCCTCTCTTCTCCTCATATATATTGTCAGATGTGATGATGAAGAGAAAGATATGATGGATATATTGTTAGAGACTTATAGACTCCATTGCTGAAGTGAAGTTAACCAGGGATCAGATCAAGTACTTCTGTATGGTATGTTTCATATCTTTTAATTTAATATTTGAGTCTTTCAAAAAGGTCACAAGAAAAGTAATTTTTTGTGAATTCATTATTTGTGTAAAAAAATGACTTGTTTATATATATATATATGTATATGTATTTATATATTGTATAACATCATTATGTCACAGGAATATTCATGGCCAGGGTAGATACTTGTTGAAGTTAGCATATATCAGTTATGCTTTTTAATTTGTAATTGTGTTTTTTAGTTTTTTGCAATTAAGGTCTATGGTTTCTAGTAGTTTTCTTTTATAAAATTGATATGTACAAGTTGCTTATATTTTAGCAACTCTTATGTCTTGTAATTTTTATCTAAAATGAAAGAGAGCTCCATATCAAAGAAGCTCTTGTTTTGAAAGTTTCTGGTTCTGCATTTTCTGTATTTTTTTTACTTTACTGCAGAAACTTACAATTGGTATCAGAGCAAAAATCATCTTAAGGGGCTTGTGAAAGCAAAATAGATTTAGATTTTGGTGAGAAAGAGCAAACACGAGTGCTGGTGAAGGAGAGAAGCTGTGTAAACAAAAAGCACAGCCATGTCTTCAAACAATTCTTCAACACTTTCTAATCTTGCTATGTTCACGAGAGAAAATTACAGTGTTTGGGCTATCAAAATGAAGGCCTTTCTAAAAGGTAATGGTGTGTGGGAATCTGTAGAAGATGGGTTTCATCCTCCTTGCTGCCAAACAATCCAACTGTAGCCCAAATGAAGCAACATGCTGAGTATGTTCAAGCCTCATACAAAGCCCTCTCATATATTCATAGTGCTGTAACAGATGATATTTTCTCAAGGATCATGGGAGCAGAAACAGCACAAGAAGCATGGGATACTCTTAAGAAAGAGTTTGATGGCAGTTCTAGGGTTAAAGGTAACAAGATTGTAACCCTCAAAAGACAATTTGAGATGCTGAAAATGCAGGAGATAGAGATAGTCCATCAATATATAAATAAATTGATGGATATTGTTAACTAAATTAGACTTCATGGTGAGGAATTTCCAAATCGAAGAGTGGTGGAAAAGATTATTGTTAGTGTACCAGATAAATTTGAGTCCAAGATTTCTACCATAGAAGAATCTTGTGACCTCAAAGAGCTAACCATAACTGAGCTCAGAAGTAAGCTTCAGGCTCATGAGCAAAGGCTGGCTATGAAAACTGATGAAACTACAAAGAGAGCCTTCCTTGCAAGGCAAAAAGGCAAACAACCAACCACTAGTTCTGAAAGCAATAAGACCATGGGTTCTAACCAAGCATATCAGCAGCATCAACAAAGTAGAAAAAGGAGGTTTCCTTCATGCTGTTATTGTAGAAAATCAAACCATGAAGGAAAAGATTGTTGGTTCAAAGGCAAATCACAAATTCAGTGCAAATTTTGTAAAAAATATGGCCATATTGAGAAGAATTGCAAGGCTAAGCAACAGTGACAGCATCAAACAAAACATCAGCAAGCTCAGTATAGGCCAAAGCAACAATAGTAAGTTAATTATGCTGAAGATTAGTGTAAGGAGGACTACTTGTTCATAGTGTCTCAAGGTTCATCTCTGCCATCTAATACTTGGTTTGTTGATAGTGGATGCACTAATCATATGGCTCAAGATGAAAGTCTCTTCATTGAAATGGACAAATCAGTTATTGCAAATGTCAAGTTAGGAAATGGTACTGTGGTTAGATCACAAGGGAAAGGTACTGTTGTTATTCAAACTAAAACAGGTACAAAGCAAATTACTAATGTCCTGTTTATTCCTAGCTTGAGCCAGAATTTGCTTTTTGGGTGTTGCACAAATGATGAAAAAGGGATATACTCTATCCTTTGTGCATGATTCATGTTTTATTTATGACTCTATTGGTGATGAGATAGCTAGGGTGAAAATGGTAGAAAACATCTTTCCTTTGGATTTGGAAAAGGTGCAACATTGTTTTTCTAATTCTAAAATTGTGGATGCAGATTTATGGCATAAAAGATATGGTCATTTCAATGTCAAAGGCCTAAAATATATGCAAACACATGAGTTTGTTCGAGATTTGCCAAAATTGCATTTAACTTACAGTGTTTGTGAAAGTTGTCAATTAGGCAAGATGCATAAATTGCCTTTTCCCGTGAATAAATCTTTGAGAGCAACTCAGAAACTTGAACTAGTGCATACAGATATTTGTGGCCCTATGAGAACATCATCTCTCAGCCAAAACAGATATTTCATCCTCTTTATTGATGACTTGACAAGAATGACATGGGTATACTTTCTTGGCAGCAAAGGTCAAGCCTTACCTCTGTTCAAAAAATTCAAGGTTTTGGTTGAAAACCAAAGTGGGTGCATAATTAAAAAACTCAGATCAGATAATGGCAAGGAGTATACCTCCAATGATTTTAATTTCTTTTGTGAAGAAGTTGGTGTTGATCATCAATTAACAGTGTCTTATACCCCACAGTAGAATGGCATTGCAGAGAGGAAAAATAGAACTGTTATGGAGATGGCAAGGTGCATGTTAGTAGAGAAGAAATTGCCCAAATCTTTTTGGGCTGAAGAAGTTTATATAGCAGTCTATCTCTTAAATGGTTTACCAAAAAAGGCAGTAAAAGGCATGACACCTATTGAGGCTTGGTATGGTCAAAAACCATCTGCTGATCATTTGAAGGTTTTTGGCTCAATTTGTTATAATCATATTCCAGCAGCTTAAAGAGGGAAATTAGATGAGAAGGCAAAAATTGGGATCTTTATAGGCTATGCAACACAAGCAAAAGGCTATAAGGTGTATGATCCCATATCCAAGAAGGTGAATGTGCATAAAGATGTTGTTTTTGATGAGAGTGCACACTGGAATTGGGATGCAGGGAAGATAGAAAATGGTTCAAACAAGCAGTGTGAAGCTGGTTCAAAATTAAAATCAACTGATGTTGCTTGTAGTTCTGAAATTGTAGAAGTTGATGATGATTCACTGGTTTTGAAAACCAAGTCACTAGCTGAGATTTATGCAAGATGTAATTTAGCTTATGCAGAACCTAATTGTTTTGAAGAAGCAAGTAAACAACAAGTTTGGATTGATGCAATGAAGGAGGAGTTATCTATGATTGAAAAAAATGAAACTTGGTGTCTTGTTCCAAAACCAGATGATAAGAAGCCTATTGGAGTGAAGTGGGTGTTTCAAACTAAGCTAAATCTAGATGGTTATATACACAAACATACGGCCAGACTTGTTGTGAAGGGGTATGCTTAACAACTGGGGTTTGATTATGGAGAGATTTATGCTCAGGTGGCAAGACATGATACAATAAGGCCTTTAATTGCATTAGTTGCTAATTTGGGTTGGAAATTGTTTCATATGGATGTAAAATCAGCTTTCCTTAATGGTGTTCTACAAGAGGAAATTTATGTTGAACAACTACCTAGGTTTGAGATTACAAGGAAGGAAGACTGTGTTTATAAGCTTAACAAGGCTTTGTATGGTCTAAAACAGGTGCCAAGGGCCTGGTATTCCAGAATTGATGACTACTTGATGTGTCCAGGCTTCAAGAAGAGCACAGAAGAAGCAACTTTGTATGTGAAAAGCAACAGTAGCGAATCTCAGCTTATTTTGTCACTTTATGTGGATGACTTATTGTTAACCGGAAATGATTTGAAGTCGTTGGAACAATTCAAGAAGGTTATGATGCAGGAGTTTGCAATGACAGATTTGGGAGAGACAAAGAATTTTTTGGGACTTGAAGTTCAGCAATTAAGCAAGGGAATTTTCATTTGCCAAAGAAAGTATGCATTAGATATCTTGAAGAAGTTTGAAATGGAGAATTGTAAACCAGTTGCCACTCCACTGGTTCATTATGAAAAGCTTTCCAAGGATGATCAAGAAACCAAGGTTGATTCCTTCTACTACCGAAATTTAATTGGTAGCCTTCTTTATTTAACTGCTACAAGACCTGATTTGATGTTTGCAGCAAGCTATTTGTCAAGGTTTATGTGAGCTCCTAGTAAACTTCATTTAGTTGTAGCCAAGAAAGTTCTTAGGTACATCAAAGGAACCTATGAACTTGGCTTGTGGTTTGACAGTAATCAACAAGGAAGGTTACAGGGGTATGCTGATAGTGATTGGGCAGGTTCTATGGAGGATATGATAAGCACAACAAGTTATGTGTTCTCCTTTGGTTCAGGGAGTTTCTCTTGGAATTCAAAAAAGCAGGATGTTGTAGCTCAGTCCACAACTGAGGCCAAGTATTTAGCAGCTAAAGCAGCAGCAAATCATGCTATTTGGCTTAGAATGGTGCTTGAAGAACTTGGTTTTGATCAAATTGAGCCTTGTGTACTCAAGGTAGATAACATGTCAGCAATTGCTATTGCTCAAAATC